CAATCAGAGCCCAGCAGCTCCCTTCCCCAGTCACAGCCCAGCAGGATTCTCCCCCAGTCAGAACAGAACAGCCCCCTCCCCCAATCAGCACAGCAGCCCCCTCTCCCATTTTGAGCACAGCAGACCCCTCCCCCAGTCAGAGCACAGTGCCCCCTTCCCCATTGTGAGCACAGCGGTGCCTACTCCAATCTGAGTACAGAAGCCCCCTGGGCTCCCTGTTATTGATCCCTGATGTACCCTGTTGTCCTGGGCCCCGACTGAAGGTACTCTGGATATACCTTCACCGCCCACACTACGATAGTTCAAGAAAGTGACTCACCACCACCTTCTAATGTATAATCTGAGATGGGCAATAAGTGCTGGCCTCTCTTGGGACATCCACATTCCACAAACGAATAAAAAGATCTTTAATTGTATGTTACAAATCATTAATTTTCACTGCACTTGTAGCAAGGCTGGAATTTAGCCAGGCAGAGTGAACTGAGCGGACCTTTTTGTGTGCAGTGAGTGAAGTTCACTGTTACAGAATGAGTAAACACCCCATTTCAAAGTTAGCAAAATGTCTTTTAAACATTTTAATTGTACCCACATCCACCACTTCCTCAGAAAGTTCATTCCACACGTGAACAACCCTCCGCGTAAAAAAATTGCTCCTCATGTCATTTTTAAATCTCTCACCTTAGAAATGTGCCCCCTAGTCTTGAAATCCTCCATCCTAGGGGAAAGATACCACCGTTAACTTCTATAAGGTCACCTCTCAACCTCATATGCTCCAGTCAAAGAAGTCCAAGCCTATCCAGCCTTTCTTTATAACTCAAACCTTCCATACCCGGCAACATCCTGGTAAATCTCTTCTGAACTGTCTCCAGGTTAATAATATCCTTCCTATAAATGGTGACCAGAGCTGGACATAGTATTCCAGCAGAGGCCTCACCAATGTCCTGTACAACCTCAACATGCTTGCATCTTAGCCAAAACATGTATAGGCTCAGACTGAGATAGTAAGAACTGCAGATGCTGGAGTCAAAGACAACACAGTGTGGAGCTGGAAGAACACAGTAGGTCAGGCAGCATCAGAGGAGCAGGAAAGTTGACGTTTCGGGTCGGGACCCATCTGAAGAAAGGATCCACACTGTGTTGTCTATAGGCTCAGACTGGTGTCTGTCAAGCAGGCAGTTACAGATCATCACTAAAGGAATCACACCTTCTTCAACAATATGATGACAGCAGGGGTAGTATTTGTATTCCAGAGGACCTGTAATGCCTTACTTAAGTTTAAAACTGAACCTACAATCCCGAGTGACATGGCCATATTTGTAAACTCATACCTAGCACCAACTAACAGAAAAAGAAGCACCTTTTGCATATTACATCGAATAACTGACAGAACAGTCTATTAAATCAGGTGGGTTGTGAAGTAGGACCATTGCACTCACTGTTAAATACTCGTTGTTAGCTCCTAAGCTAACTGCATAGAAGGAAAATCAACAAAAAAAAGCTTTTAAAGTAAGGAAATTGGAATGGCATCCATGTGCAACAATTTCACTCCATTTATCATCGCAACCACCATCCTCACTGCAGCAGTTACTAAGGAAGGTGGATAACCTATCACTTGAACTCTCAACTGGAGTTTCTTCCAATTCGGTCTGGTTCAGTGGCCATTGCCTAATATTTTCTTGAACTTGAAATAACAGCTCAGAGGCTGGTATCCTGTCACCAAGTTACCCTTTATTTACATGGGCTCTGACCAGCCAGCTCAAAGCCAGTCCCTAGACTGAGGAGACTTTCTGAATCTCTTGTTTATATCTGTCAGCCTGATTGGCCCAGGTTAATAATCCCAATCAAGGATCTCACAGTCAATGAAATCCACCTGGTCCTGGTTCTAATCACTACAGGACTGTCGCCCAGTATGTGTTAGTACGCTTAGGAGAGAAAATTGGAAAACATTTTTTTTAAATTCAGTTTTAAGAGTGGTACAATGGCACAAACTCAATCTGTTTGGTTCCTTGGTGAGTTGTCGTCATTCTCAGTCAGGTACAATAATAAGTGTGAAACTGAGTGTACTCCACTTGTCATTGTATGATGTGCTGTCAAGGAACTAGTCAACCTAAAGGGGAATGTACAGAACAGCTGTTTAAACTCTGAGCTGGCACAATTTGAAAATTCCAGAGGCAGGTATATTATCTCTTCAATTTGCCCTCCAACAATGATTTTTTTTCTGTACTTATGGCTTATAGTGATCATGAAAAACATAGGATTTTAGTAAACAGAAGTATTAAAAAAGATAATTACTATTACTTGAGCTTATTCTTACATCTGCTGCTATTACCATCGTCCAGTGCAAAATAGAGCAAGAGAAAGGCAGCAAGTGAAATATTCAAAGGTAGAAACAATTTTTCCATCTGTTCCTCAGAATCCAGATTCCTGATTAGCCGAATCCAATGACACCGGTAGCCCTCTCAGACCTCAATCCTGTGAATAGAAATTTTAAAAGTTGGCTTTTAGCTACTGAGAGAGTCAGGTGAAACAGATGTCACAACTAAGCCCATCATTACTGGCTTTGACATAAGGTCTACACATGCTTCCTTTAACCAGCTATGATAATAAACATGTAGGAACTCTTTCTGATTAACTACCTTCTTCCCTGTGAATCACCAGGACCAGTTACAGTGCAGTGCTGGCTAAAACTGGCTGATTCCACACAGTCCACTTCTTAGAACTGGAACCTTCCTGCCTATATCCGTGTGTGTATGTGTGTGTTTGTGGGGGAAAGTGGGATCATACTTCATTATCTCCTACAATCACTTCCTACTCTCACCATGACACCATTTTAATTGAAAGCACCAATATCAAACAGATTATACACACTGCTTTAAGATTTTGGTTTGAGAAAACCATGGATCAAATGGAATCCCTGCAGGTTAGGTGGATTGGCCGTGCTAAAATTGTCTTTAGTGTCCAAGGGTGTGCAAGCCTAGGTGGATTAGCTGTGGGAAATGTGGGGTTATGGGAATAGGGTAGGAGGGCTGGGCTGGGTGCGATGCTTTTTGGAGGGTCTGTGTGGACTTGGTGGGCCAAATGGCCTCCTTCCATACTGTAGGGATTCGATGATTGTATAATAGCGCTCCCTGTACAATGGGTACCACACTTTGTTAAATTCTGGTCATAATTCTTAACAACTTATTTTTCCAGAAATTAGCAAAGGCAGGAATTGTAGTCCTATCATCTTTTGTGTCTGTTCTTGTATGAAGTATTTCTGAGATGCACATCGTCTGGATGAATCTTCAGCCCTTTGTTTTATTTGCCAAATAGCCTGTACAATTCACTTTTAACACCTTTGAATCAATTGGAGATTAACTAATGCAATATGTTGGATGGAGCTGCAGTTTCCGGGTACTAAACTTGGGTGAATCAATTTTATTATTAAAGCCCCTGATTATCGAGTAATTAATTAGATGGACAATGTATTGATAGAACAAGGAGAATGCTATTAACTTTTTGTCACTTTAATTGAAATGTGGGCTCCCCATAATTGAATTTACTCACCCATGCTGCAATGTGTTTTGTTTATTGGGTGTTTGATTGTATGTATGTGTGTAATATATAAGGGGCTTTGTTCGGCTGATGTGTGGCATTACAAGAAATCCAGATTATTGATGTCTTGGCAGCCAAACATTCAGGCTATCTGGAAATTTGAAGGTAAGACCACACCACCACTAGGTTGCCAGTAATTGGACATTTAATTTACTCTTTCTGGTGCACACTTGCATCCTTTTTGCAGAACAGATTGAGTGACAGAGTCCAGTGATATGTTAAGGCCAAAGCTTAAATTTGAAACGTAGATTCACAGTTTTCACTTCATGATTGCAGCAAATGGAGACTAAAATGCCTTTTGTAAATTAGCTTCCTTGTGCAGTGTGCTTGCTGGGTGACTTCTGTTTCCACTTAGGATTGCATTGGCAATTTTATACAAAAGTACTGAGCCCTTGTAGACAACGCAAACAGCGGGCATCTGCCTGAAATGGAATTTAAAGAAATAAAAAGTGAATAAAAGGCAGCATCATGCCAGGAACTATGTGCAAAACAAATAAAAAACAAACAACAAAGTAGGAAAGAAAGAAAATATTAACAGTTGCCATTGAAAAATCAGTTGGCTGTATACAGAGCAGAAGGGAATGTAGATGCATCCCTCACTAACCTGTCAATCATCAAATGTATATTGCTGCAATTAATTGCCAAGCACTAACACAAATGCACATTGCTCCATTAGATATAATGGCATTATATTAGCAAGGATGAGATTATTATGCACTCTGGCATGTTACGATCATGTGTTCTAATTAAACTGCTAGGAATGTAGGCACAGATCTTGTGCCCATTTCCTAGGTGCTACAGAGAGACTTGCAATTATGCAGCATCTTTCCAGACTAATACACCCCATAGCCCTTTAAAGCCAATGAAATACTTTTGACATGTAGTCATATTGTAAATACAGGTAAAGTGTGAGCTGATAGGCACACAGTAAGGTCTCAGAAACAATACTATTAGCAGGGCACTAGGAATTCCCTACTGTTTAGTGAATAGTGCCATTAAACATCTAATGCTGTCTGGGCCAAATAGGGTTATGGATTTAACGTTGAATTCAGAAGGTGCCACCTCTAATAATACAGCACTCTCACCGTAGATTTCGTTCTTTGTCTGTAATGGGACACTAAAGTATAGCCATGTTTTAGAGGACACCGTGACTATGTTTCATTAAAACATAAAATATCCTGAGGGAGCTTAACAGGGGCCATATTGAAAGATATTTTCTCTTATGGAAGGATGTAGAACTAGGGGTCACTTTTAATAATAAGATGAGGGGAGCAATTTAAGAGACAGATGAGTAGACATTTTTTCCTCACAGAACGTGGTGAGTCTTTTGGAATTCTCTCCCTGAAAAGGTGGTAGAAGCAGATTATTTAAATATGTTCAAGTCAGAGGTACATAGATTCTGAATAAGCCAGAGGTGAATGGTTATCGGAGATGGATGGGAATATAGTAATGAGGTTACAATCAGATCAGCTATGATCCAATTGAATGGCAATAGCAGGCTTGAGATGTCAAATGGCTCCTAAGTTGTATGTTTCAATGTATTAGAAATAAAAACTGAGTGTATTAGAGAAACTCAGCAGGTCTGCCAGCATCTGTGGAGAGAGAAGCAGAGTTAATGTTTCCAGTCCAGTACGACTGTCTTCAGAAGTTCGGATTTCTGCCAGACCTGTTGAGTTCCTCCAGCACTTTCTACTTTTGTTTCAGATTCCTGGCTTCTGCAATATTTTGTTTTTATTTGTATGTCTTTGTATATGTTTGCTAGCCATACAGCAACTGTGCAAAAACCAGATGGGTGCTTAAAATATTGTTTAAAATTATAAACAGTGCATTCATTCTGCTGTAGTCTATGGTATATCAACTTATATTAATGTAATGCTGAACACCGTGGTCAAAACATCTTCTTGGAGGTTTATTGTTTTCTTTACGTGGGCATTGCTGACATAACTAATGTTTATAATTCAAAATGAATTGACCTTGAACGAAACGGCTCGTAAAGCTAAGAATCAGTGTGGAGCTGGAAGAACACAGCAAGCCAGGCAGCATCAGAGGAGCAGAAAAGTTGACGTTTCAGGTCGGGACCCGAATCGTCAACTTTCCTGCTCCTCTGATGCTGCCTGGCCTGCTGTGTTCCTCCAGCTCCACACTGTTATCTCTGACTCCAGCATCTGCAGTTTTTACTATCTCGCAGCTAAGAATCAACTGTATTGCTGTGGACCTAGAGTCACATGTGGGCCAGGCCAGGTAAGGATAGGAAATATCTCTCACTAATGGATATTAGTCAACCAGGTGGGTTTTTACAACAGTCAATGATAGATTCATTATTACTGAAAACTATTTTCAATTTCAGAGTTTATTCACTAATTCTACAAGCTGTGGTGGTGGCCTTTGAATCCATGTCCCTACAGCGTTAGTGTACGCCTTTTGCTAACTAGTCAAATGACATTACCACTGTCTCCCACATTCTCTTTATTTTATTGTCTGAACTGAAATGGTGCATTTCCACTTTGTAGGAAATTCATAAACCAATTCATTTTCAGTGAGCTTTGGACTTTTCTGCCCTTGATCCACAAATGAAATTGAAACAAATCATGACCCCTGACGAGCTCCCTCAGGATATTTTGTGTTTTAATTAAATGTAGTCATGATGTCCTCTAAGACATGGTTATGAATCCACATTGTTGTTGAAATGAATCTTCAGATGGTACTGCTAACATTCTGTCATTTCTGTGTTTCTGTCAGACAACTGTGCAGTTGTAATGGAGATTGACCACGATCGACAGATGGTTTACTCGGAAACTCTGTCGCTGGCTAATTATGACCGGGACATGCTGTTGGCTGCCGTGCAGCCCTCAGAGGAACAGGTGGCAAGCCGTCTCACCACCCCCATCGTCACTACACAACTAGATACCAAGAACATCTCGTTCGAAAGGTAATGGTTGCTGGGTACCACCAGAACAACTGCTTCCACTCATATAGGTATTGGGTAGTAAAAGACTGAGGGGTGACCTTATACAGGTCTATAAAATCATGAGAGGCATAGATAAGGTGGATAGCTGAGAGGTGAGAGATACAAAAAACGGGACAACTTTTTCACACAGAGGGTGCTGAGTGTCTGGAACGGTCTGCCAGAGGTAGTGGTGGAAGTGAGTACAATTTCATCATTTAAAGAAGCATTTAGACAGGTACATGGATGGGATAAGTAGTGAGGGATATGGACCAAACACAGGCAAATGGAACTCATTTAATTGTGAAAACTGGGCGGCATGGGCAAGTTAAGCCGAAGGGCCTGTTTCCATGCTGTTGACCTCTGTCACTCTTTTAGTCCCAAGGTGTGTTGTAGGAGCATGATCAAACAGCATTTCAGAATATCCAATACCAAAGGATATTGGGAAACATATCCAGTTGATCAAAGAGTTATGAGACAAAGATCCCAGTAGGGTCATTTGTGCTTCCCAGGACAGAGGTTCAGAACTTTGGATTGAATTCAATGTAGTTGAAATCAAATACATTGGATCTGAAATTTTAATGTAGAAATCTGAAAAAAAGTCATCTAATGCTCTGATCAAATTCTTAAGTCAGGCTCTAGTCCAAGATCTGAATGCAAACATAACCTCAAGCTTATTGCTTAGACAAATTTTCACTGTTTTTGAATTTTTTGGTTACTTTCAACAATCTTACTATTTTAATTCAAATTGATTTTCTCAATACATGGATCAAAAAGCAAACAAATGGAAAAATAACAATATTTCATTTACATATCCATAGACAATTAAATTAATCATAGTAGCTAACCTCATGAATAGACAGAAAAAAAATTATTTATACTAAGGTTCGAAAAGAACGTAAGTAGGAACAAGACAAAAATTTCTGCAGTAATTCTGATATTTCTGTTCCTCCCAGACTTGATGCTTAAATACCCACAGTTCTCAAGCTGATTTTACATAAGCTATTTTCTCAGGGTTGTTCAGATTATTCACAATGAATTTGTTGAAGGGTTGCTGTGTGCGGAAAAGAGTTCTCTTGAACTTCCACCAAAAATTAATCCACAGATTACCAGAACCCCTTGAGGAAATTCACCTTAATTCTTCATTTTCCAAATGTTCACCTTCAACTGCGAGTCACTGGATAATTGAAAGTATCACCCAAGAGGCACAGCAGGACTCGATGGAAGTTCAGATGCATGGATCTCCATGAGAATTGTTGGGAGGTTTGAGTTTCTAACAGTAAATTCCCTTGGTCCTCAGGAACCATTGGAAAAGTCTTTGACTCTGAGTCAGTGTCAAAAACCTCAGACAGATCCAACATCCTTATCTGAAATTTTAACATAGATGTGAAAGCGCTAGTTTAGCTCCTGTGTAATGACAAATAATTCTACAATCACTCATACTGACTCTAAATTCTCCAAGATTCCTTCATCAGCACCTTCTACATCTACAACCATTTGAAGGACAACAGCAGCAGATACATAGGAGCATCACCACTGGCAAGTCCTCCTCCAAATGTGCCCTTAACATCCTGATTTGCAAACAATTGCTGTTCCTTAATGTGTCACTAGGTCAAAATCCTGGTACTGCCTCCCTAACAGAATTGTAGGTCCACTTGCAGCACATGGACTACAGCTATTCAAGAAGACAGTTCCTGACCACCTTCTCAAGGGCAGCTAGGGATGGGCAATTAATGCTGACCCAGCCAGCAATACCCACATCCCATGAATGAACAAAAAAAAGCACCACAATGTCTCCCTCCACCTATGATTACAATCCTCCCAGTTTAATTCCTGATCCCATCCTGCCCAAATCTGACTACCTGCCTGATCTGACTAGCCACCATAGCCCGATTACTCTACTTAACCTGAGCCAACCTTGCAATTACCACCGTTTGACCTGACCTGGCTTCCTCCGATGCACCTACCTACTCATCCACCTAGCCATCCTTTGACCTCACCCAGCAAATACCCAATCCCTGCACCAACCTACCCATCAGCCACCCACCAAACCCCAACCCTACCTCTAGTTCTCTATTGCTTTTTATTTTCTTTCTTCAAAGTTCACAGGGACACAAATTACATCTGTACCACCTCTTTCCTAGCCTCCCTGTTGACCCTCTTCACTTCTTTCCTACTTGCTTCAAGCTCCAAGTCACAAGTCGGGCAGCATGGTGGCTCAATGGTTAGCACTGCTGCCTCACAGCGCCAGGGACCCGGGTTCGATTCCACCCTCGGGTGACTGTCTATGCGGAGTTTGCACATTCTCTCCGTGTCTGCGTTGGTTTCCTCCCACAATTCAAAGATGTGCATGCTAGGTGGATTGGCCATGCTAAATTGCCAATAGTGTCTGGGGGTGGGATATTCTGAGGGTCAGTGTGGACCTGTTGGGCCAAAGGGCCTGATTCCATACTGTAGGGATTCTATGATCTATTCTATGAAAATACAGTTCATTATGTTCTGATCAACCACAACAATATGCTTTAATCTTGCCTGGCAGACAACAACATCTACTGTATCATTATGCTTTTTTTTCAATTTCCCTACACTGGCCAGTTTGGCTTTGGTCAAATTAAGCCAAATGTTGCACAGCATTAGGAATTGCATTAAAATGATCAAAAAATTAACGTAGAATTCTTATCTTCATCTAATCAGTCCTGGATTCTGGTCTCAAGTGCCTGAGGGTTCCATTGTTGCTTCCTCCTAGAAGGATACTTAGCACCTTACTGACTGCCCAGGATCAGTTGTCTGATAATTTAAGAATATAATGGCACTTTAATCATTATTTGAGTGAATGAATTGAAAAATAAAGTTGAAAAAAAGTACCTGTTTTTATTATTCAGGTGTGGCATGATACAAACATTAAACTATCAGCTAAATGCAAAACTAGTTCACAATTCTGTTTTCTTCCCCAATCTTTGCTTGAAGTGATCTTAGTGTTTGCCAGTTTTAAATCCCTCAGGTAACATGACTTGAGCTGTCATATTGCACAACACTGAATAATGTATCGATTTTCAAGGCTTTCAGGAACTGTTGAACATGACTTCACTATCACCATCTTTTCCAATTTTCCCTTCTCAGAAATAAATCTGGAATCCTGGGCTGGAGAAGTGAGAAGACCGAGATAATAAATGGATATGAGTCCAAGGTAATGGATGTGCTAACCATTGAAGGGTGCCCAGTCACGTTCTGCAAACAACAAGGAATAATGTTTATGATTTAGTGCTTGCAATGCAAATCTTTCTCTCACAGGACAACAGAACGTGAACCTTGGGCTTAGGAATTAATGTATTTAATTTTAATTGATGGAAATTATAGTCATCAATCATTGATCTCTATGTCTAAATTGTACTCAGTGACTCATTGTAAGTCAATGATTTTCTTAGAAAATAAAACTCACTCTCGTTGCATTCTCATAGGTTTATGGAGCTTCCAACGTGGAACTAGTTACTCGGACAAGAACGGAGCATCTGTCAGACCAGAACAAGAGTAAAAGCAAGGGTAAGTGAAGGAGAGCATTACTGGGCCTATGATGAGTATGTGAAAGCAAGAAGTGCAGTGACAGCTCATTAACACCAGCACTAGAGAAAAGGAACAGTGACAAACAGCTGAGGCAATCTATTCCTTACAGACACTAGTAACAAAATAAGTCCTGAACAGGAGTAGTCTTTGAAAGTGAGCAATAGGAGGAAGGTAAAGTTAGTTTTGAAATTAATTAATAAATCAATAATGTTACATAAGCACACAATATCTTCTGGCTGTGGAGCATTGTTGGGGGTCAGTGGAGTATTAACCTTGGATGGTTCTCTTCCCGTATTCACGTCATATTACTGAATACATGGTTCTCTCTCCAGGAGAAATGTAATCAATGCAAGTATTCTGTACCTGATCCAATCCCATTCCTGTATATTACAATACTGCCCATTTATCATCAGCTGCAGATTTCCAGTGGCAGGCATAGCATTAAAAATATGATGACTCAGTTCTTGAAAAGGGCTGATAAAACCATAGCATAGTTGGGTGCTTTAGACAAGATTGTAAACTACAAGATTGAAGTGCAAGATGTTAAGTAGGCATTTTACTAGCAATTTTATATATCTTTCTAAGGAGATTACCATAAAAAAATAGGACAAATGACATAAAGCACTGAAGAGCGAGAATGAGTGAACAACTATTGGGGATAGCTACAGGAACATGATGAGAAAGTTTGTGGCATTTATGGTATGTCCAGCAATTTAGCATAGTGATTTGCAGTGTTAAGGAACAAGCCATGTTAAGATAGTGGATAAGCCATAGAATATATAGGAAGTTAACACAGAAACTGTTTACGGGCTAAGTATGTGTGGCATAACTTGATTTATCCAATAATAATACTAATTGATTCATCTTTGGAAGAATCCAGAAAATTTTACTTTATCTTACTGTATAATAAAAACAAATATTAAAATATTTTCATCTTCATTCTTGAAACAGAGTATTTTCAATCCATCATGTGTCAGTTATCTTCACCAGATTAAGAACAGCCAGCTAAAGATTTAATTTCGATTCACTTGCTTCAGCGATGATTTAATTAACTGAAGCACAAATACTGCAAATGAGCTTTTTAAAAAGCTTATAAACACTCTGATGTAAGCATATCGTTTTGAGTTAATTAGTTGTGGTATTTAACATGGAATTGCAAAGCTATTGGACTATAAAGATAGGCTTCAGCTGATGGTTTTATGTAAAGGCCAGGCACCCTCTTTGTGTTACTTGGGCTCCCTATAGATGGGCTCATGCGATTGGGTGAAGCTAGACATGTGACTTAAAGAGGTACCAGAGGTCTAATGTCAGAGCTAAATGATTGTCAGCTCAAAACTAATTATTTGCAGTGGAGACATTTTTGTGCAATGCCACAATTGAGGCAGGCACTGTAATTGTTTAATTTGCTGATGTTGTTTGGATTTGCTACCTGGGGGCAAAGAGCTGGTGTTACAGCACCCATTTGCATTTCTCAACCCCAGATTGTGTTTTTTTCAAATTGTTTCAACCTCTAGGGCACCGGCGACACAAACCTGTTTCATCAGCGTCCACTCTGTTGGTCCACCAACGAGTTATCTCACCGAGCAGCCAGAAGATCAGAAGTAAAGTGTTTTTATATTTGTCTAAAATTTCAAAGTGTTCATTTTAGTGACTTCGGAATAAGCTTACTACAGTGGAACCTCCATTATCCATAATCCTATTAGCCTTTCATACCAATTGTCTGCTGGAACTTTCACAAGACAAAAGCCCAATGTGAAATATCACCAGGTTACTCAGCCCCTTTTGTTATTTGTATTTCATCATCTTCTTCTGTTACTGAATGAACCTACATTTATTGGTAATTGTATCATGTCTGTCTTCATTCCTGTGCCTAGGGTATTGTTGCACAGTTAGGAGGTCAGATTTGAAGACTGTCAATTATTCACTAATTTCCATAATCCACGTCCTCTGGTGGATAATGGAGTTTCCGCTGTACTTTCATAGGATTCTGTTCGGCATTATGAAAAATTGATAACCTGAGGAATCTGGAATTGTCCGAAGCTGTTGGCCATCTAAGAATTAAGTTTCAGTGAAAGACTTCTTCACCTAAACAGATAACAGTTCAATATTGAATGAAAACAGAAGCAAAGATTATGGACTAGAAAAAAAGTAGTCTTAATATAATTTAGCAATGTCCCTCAGTGCCATTACTGTTCATTACAGACTACAAAATGACAACTTTGGTTATATTGTTCTACATTATTGACTGTCTTTCTTTGCGAATTGTTCAGCTATACATGTTGTTTATGTTATACTAGATTTTATCATTAGGTTGCATATACTACGTCAATATTATGGGTGTAAACAAATCCGGAGACTTTACCAAGTAAAAACAAAATACTACAGATGCTGGAATCTGAAACAAAAACAGATAATGCTGGAGAAACTCGGCAGAGCTGGCAGCACCTATTGAGAGAAAAACAGTTAACATTTTGAATCTAATGACTCGTCTTTGGAACTCCCATTCTTTTCAGTTCTGAAGAGGAGTCAGGTTGGTCTCAAAATGTTAAGTCTGTTTCTCTCCCCACAGATGCTGCCAGACATGCTGAGCTTCTGCAGCACTTCCTGTTTCTAGTTGGAGACTTTACTGGTCTAACTTTCTTTTTTCCTTTATTCATTAATGGGATGAGGGCATGGCTGGCTAGGCTGCATTTATTGCCCAGAGAGGCAATTAAGAGTCAACCACATTGCTGTGGGTCTGGAGTCATATGTAGACCAGACCAGTTTCCTTCCCTAAAGGGCATTAGTGAACCAGATGTGTTTTGCCCCTGACAACCAGCATTGGATTGATGGCCATCATTAGATTCTTAATTCCAGATATTTTATTGAATTCAAATTCCACCATCAGCCATGGGGGGGATTTGAACCCAGATCCCAAGCACATTATCTGAGTCTCTGGATTAAGCAATGATACCACTAGGCCATTGTCTCCCCCTGGGGACCTTCCCTAGTGTTGGGGGAAGTCCATATAGGTCAGCAATGCTAAATGTGTGCTGTTGGCTGGCAAAGCTTTAGACTGTTGCCAGTATAGAAACCTAATATTAAATGATTTTGGAACACAAAAGTTTACACATATTCTACAGTCACTAGTTTGCATCAAACTTGAAATCTCATTCCGAGAGTGTATCACTGCCTCTGAGGACCAGAAGATGTTTATACTGCAATGCATCCGGCACTAGTGCTGTCGAAGTTGAAGGCAATCATGCCGCATCAAGAGCTCATTGTTATGTCTGAACCTGCATTCAAACAAAATGCTAGCAGTCAAATTAGTCCACTCCAACATGGCAAGCGTACAAAACTAATTGGTGTAATTTTGCCGTATAATTAAATTGCAGCACAACATTAAGGGAAGAAATTCCAACTGGCTCTTTATATCCTCTGCTATACAGCACAGGAATGACAAACGTCTTGGAAACATAACATGTGCAGTTGCTACTTTCCAATTACAGGGTACTACGGCCACGCTTCTGATCTCTTACAGGTAAAATCCTGTGGGCATTCCAGGGGTAGAACTTTACAATGATTTTTGCCAGTGTTCTACTGGAGTGGAAACATTGCCATATCACATGGTCTCCCAGCTCAATTAAGCCATTAAGGGAGCTGCTTGGTTTTTCCCTATAGTACCTCCTGGACTTGAGAAAGGCCAAGAGGGATATACACAGGACATCAGCTTGAAATAGTTTTGTACATTCCAGTTGACACCATAGAACAGAGCCATAAATATCAGCAAGGTCTCAGAATCAATTCCTGGCCTGTGCTGTGCTGCGATCTCAGATATGGTGTCAGCAGGTACAATAAATATTGCCTGCAACTCATGAGATGAAATATCAGTTGTGCTGCCTGCCAGAAAGGGGGGGGTGTGTGTGTGTGTGTGTGTGTGTATTAATGAGACAGATCCCCAATCTTTAGGCTTATTCATGAAGAATGATTAATTCAGGTAATAGCAGGGAAATGTTGTAGCCATAATGCAGCTGAACTAAGAATCTTTAAGAAGGGGAGAAAGTAATGGGAGGTATGGGGTTACACTATTGATAGGAGTCAATTAGCTCAGTTGGTTGGCTGAATGGGTTTCAATGCAGAACGCTGCCAACAGTATGGGTTCTATTCTCACACTGGGATGAGGTTACTATTGAAGGCCCTGCTTTCTCAACCCCATCCTTCATCTGAGGTGTGTTGTCCCTCAGGTTAAACCACGACCAATTGCCTCCCTCCAGTGAGAGAGCAGGTCTGGGATTAATGTGACTTTACCTTACTATTGATACCCTTTACAGATTGGAAAAGTAAGATTTTATTTTGAATGGGGATGCAGACTCCCCACAAAATAAAAACCCTAAAGGCACAAACATTTTAAATACCTAGGTTTCTGATCAATCAGATTATAATCATAAACCTACAAAAAATGAGTGTTTAAATGCACTTCCTATATACAAAACCTTACACCCACATGCTACTTTGTCACTCTGAGTTATTGTCTTCCGTTCTCGATGTGTGTATGTCAACTTATATAATGAAAATGTCTACATAAACTTAACATTTAATTACACCTTCCAACCAGTGAGGTGGCACTGTGGGTCTTTAGTTTTGTATTGCTCAGGTTCTACTGCAAAGAGATTCCTTTGCTCTAACAACCTTTCCTTTACTGATTCCCAAATTGCACCACATGTTGATATTTAACTATAATTACAATAAAATTAACATACATTCTGTCCCTAGAAAAAGTATGATTTTTAAAATTGGGACTAGGGGCAGCACGGTGGTTCAGCAGTTAACACTGCTGCCTTACAGCGCCAGGGACCTGGGTTCGATTCCACTCTTGGGCAACTGTCTGTGTGGAGTTTGCACATTCTCCCCGTGTCTGCATGGGTTTCCTCTGGGTGCTCCAGTTTCCTCCCACAGTCCAAAGATGTGCAGGCTAGGTGGATTGGCCATGCTAAATTACCCATAGTGTCCAGGGATGTGTAGATTGGGTGGGTTATAGGGGGCTGGGTTTGGGTGGGATGCTCTGAGGGTCGGGGTGGACTTGTTGGGCCAGAGGGCCTGTTTCCACACTGTAGGGATTCTATAAATTACATTGGATCATCTTGGTCATCACATCAACAAATCCTGACTCCTTATGTGTGATGACTCAGTGGTTCAACGAATTATTAAAAATTACAGTTCATATTTATGGCAGCTGAAATTATTATCATTCCCTTTTCACACATTTAATCCTCAACTGAATGCTTTTTCCACAGCAATGCTTTCTGGTCCAGTTAGTTATTGACAAGTTTGCAAAATCTCAGTACTCACTTTGAAGGTGACTGTGCACAGTTTGGGTCTGCACTTTGCTATATTTACAAATGTAAATATATACAGGTCTCTGGGATTGAAAAGGTCTCCTCTGTTGTCATTTCTCACCAAATGTAATATTTGGAGGGTGATGGCTTCTATCAGTTAAGCTCACTCAAGGTAAACAAGCTTACATCCATAAACTAAGTGAAAGGGGACCATATAAAATTAACAGTACTTCTGAAAGCATATTAATGATGTAAAAATGAAGCTGTTTGACACTTGATAATTCCATGGGGAAATCAGTATAAATCAACACAGTTTCATATTTAATGATTACTCAATTGGATTGACCTTGAAACTCATCATTAATAAGCTGCATATTAATTATTGGGAACTATGGGTGGAATCTTATGGGGGTCTGAGCAACATGGGCTATTGTGAGATTTGTGGCAGAATCACACAAGAAATCTAGAATAGCCCATCTCAACGTCATGAGCATTTCACCTCTTCATCTTTCATGCCTTTAACATATAGAGAGTTTCTCTCTAGGAAGCACTGAATGACTAATTAAAGAGGGGGGTTATTAGTTGTTAAAAGCCCTATTAAAGGATCAAAACACCTCAGTAATATTCAGCTCCCTATCTTATCAAACACACCAAGAAAGCTAGATGTTGAGAGCGCTCAGCGTGGGTACCTGGCAGATTCACTTTGCTGTTTGCTCTGACTGACCTCCATGTTGGACACTGGGCACCAACATTTCAGGGTATGCTCCACGGGTACTTGCCACACATACCCTACATCTATGGATATTGGCATCTGATGTGGGCCAGCCTGTAATAGTCCTCATGGCACATCTCTGTTCAATTTACAGGGCACTTCTGCACTTCAGTGCTGCACCTCGGGCTCTGTCAGTAACTCTCATTGTAATGTTGCAGCAAGGACACTGTGCTCTCAGGGACCCACATGCAACTCATGACTGGACCAGGCTGCATCTCTGAGCTCTTTGCTCACACTTACAGCGCTCATTCACTCTGAGCACACCTATGATGGTTACAGTAGCCCTACTTTGCCTTTTTGCACTTTGCCCCCCCACTGGAGGTTCGTATTCCTCTTGTCTTGTTGTTGTTTAGAGCAGTCCCAATGGAGGGAAGCTCGTCACAGTCAAGTCAAAGGGAAATAGCCTTCACTTGGGGGTCCTGGCACAGTCAGGTCAAGGGTAGCCTCCTCCTGCACGACTCTGTCCAGCAGGATCCCTGCCTGCAAAACAGGGCGCCATTTTACCCCTGTCTGCTGTATCGAGGGCAAATGTCAGAAACCATGAAGGGCAGTTCCAGACTGACAGTACCTGTCCATGTGTCCAACTGCCTTTTAAATATGGTGAAGGAGTAAGGGATGCGATTAACTCCAGGATATCCCAGCAGTGGTGAGCTGTTCCTGGAATCGCACATAGTAACCTGTGGCTGAAATCTGACGAGGATTGCTGTTGGGGTGGGGGAGAAAGTTAATGAGTTTGGTAAGATATGGTGGGAAAGCTCATTGGACCTTGCAGTGATAAACCCTTTGAAAAACACTCAACACAGCTTGTAATTAGCCTAAAAGATGTAAGATTCAGCCCTACATTCATGTGCAGTTCAAGCCATTGCACTTAGAGTGTCCCAAGTGGTGACAAACCATTTAAAATGGAGATAATGATAAAATAAATAGCTTATATACCAGAAATACCACTTGACTATGATAGCTGAATTAATAGACAACCAAAAACCAAAGATTTAAGACAAGGAATCAAAACATTCAACACACATTTCTCCATGACAGCTTCGTTCAGAATGAAGTGGAAACAGAATTCCTCATTGATCATTTTTGTTTTCTTTAAGAATAAAATCTCATTCAAAAGTCTTGCCTCTCAAAATAATGCAATAAATTCAAATCGTTGGTACTTAGCAGGTTTGCATGCTGAATGCAGAGATCAATCATTATAAATATATCTGTCATGGAGCAAATACTGTACTAAAAAACACCTCTTGTCTTTTGCAGGCAGTAAAACACCTCTCCAGTCTTTCCTGGGCATTGCAGAACAACATGTTGGACCACACAATGGGGTTTGTATTGGAAATTTTGTTCTGTTGCGTCAGCCAAAGCTTTTATTATGGCTTATAGATCTCACGGTATTAACTTTGACTCAATCTCCATGCTGACATAGCATATTATAATGCTGATTACTTTTAAGCTACAGTATTTCAGGAATATGTTCTTGGTAGAAGCACTGCTTAATTTGTCATGCACAGTAAACATGAATGCTGGAAAAATGCCATTTTTATAATAAGAAACGTCAATGACTGTGGATAGTGTAGGGTGCTGCCCACGTTTGAAAGAGCAGGAGAGAAGACATTTGCAAATCAACGGTGATTCACAGATGCTGAGGTTGAGTTTGCATTTTTCTATGCATTGCATTAAAAGACTGTACCGATTACCAGTATATAAATTTATAAATTAACCAACTTATATCTGTTTATTTCTGGTGACACTGTTATAGGAAAGATATTATTAAACTGGAGAGGGCTTAGAAGACATTTACCAGGATGTTGCCAGTTTGGAGGATGAGTTATAAGGAGAGTCTAGATAGGCTGGGACTTTTTCACTGGCACGTAGGAGGTCAAGGGGTGACCTTACAAGGTTACGAGGGATATAGATAAGGTAAATGGTACATGCTTTTTCCCTAAGGTGAGGGATTTCAAGACTGGGAGGCATATTTTTAAGGTGAGAGGAGAAAGATTTAAAAAAGACATGAAGGGAATTTTTGTTTTTATACAAAGAGTGGTTTGTGAGTGAAATGAACTTCCAAAGGAAGTGGTGGATGTGAGTACAGTAACAACATTTAAAAAACATTTGGATAAGTACATGAATAAGAAACATTTGGAGGGATATGGGACAAGCGCAGGTAGGTAGGACTAGTTTAGTTTGGGATTACGGTCGGCATGGATTGGTTGTTTCCCTGCTGTATGACTCTGAGTCTATAGCTAGGACAAGGATACCTGAAAAGTAAAGGGTTCCTGTGCAGGTTCTCATGGTCATACTTTCAGCATAAACAGCCAAGAATGCGGTTTCTGCAAGGTTTCTGTTGGCCATTCACCACATCTGTGCCAAGAGGGTGGGAAAACGCCTGTGAAAATTTCATTGATAAGCCTGATTACAGGCCCAATTCAGCAAACTGTTAACATTTGTAGAAAGCAGTAACCATCAACCAACAAAGTCTTTGTGAATCAAACTCTCACTCTCGCAATAGTCTGCCTGCACTTCAGCATATTCTAGAAGGTCCATTAGCCCATAGTGATTCTTTTAGCTTCTACATTAGGAGTTATATGGATGTTCACCAAAGCATTGAGAGTCAAAATCTGATTTTCTGTCTGTGTTTACAGTAACTGAATAAGTCATGGGGGTTTTATTTTGGGATTTTCCTTGGCATTTTTATGGTTACACCCCTCGTTCTCTCACTTTTCACTGAAAACTGCAAATCAGTAACCCAATGCATCAATTGAATTGTTTTGCAGGTTGATTCAATAATGCTGAGTTATTGGTTCATTGTTGAATCCAACCATTTATAACATGTGGTTGAACTGGTGCAATGTTGTTTGTTATCATTTTGTGATCCAGGCATTCATTACTCAGACATTCAGCAGTACCAATCCAACATCCATTACTCCAGAGGAATACTTCAACCTGAGCTTTGACCTGGGAAGTCGAGATATTGGACGTTCCATGGAGCTCACCACCAAAACACAGAAGTAAGCTGAAAGCCTCTTTCATTGCCTGTGATTGCTAATAAATACAATGCAATTTCCTGTTACTCGCCCTGGTGTAATATGACAAAATCCTTAGAGTCTCTGATTCCTTTTAGTAAACATCGCAGCATTCTACACTGAAACCCTGTGCTCTTCTTACCATGAAACAAACCCAAAGTTATGATCTCAGATTCAAGTTACAAGACAGGGGAGTTAAATCTAACCTCAGGGTTGTGATTATGTCTGCGCAGCTCAGGAACAACAACTTGCATTTATGTAGTGCCTTTGACACAGTTGCTTCACAGTAACTTGTGTGCAAAAAGTTTTAAATAAGTTAGCACTCGGCAAGCCCAGGACAGAATTTAGGAATATGTGGAATCAGAGTACAAATAGCTTAATAGAGGGCAAATCAGAGAGCAAATGTTCTAATATAGCTAAAAACAGAGCATGCTGGAGAAATCTAACAGGTCTGACAGCACCTTTAGAGAAAGAAGCAGAGTTAACATTTGCAGTCCAATGAGACTCTTCTAAATGTAACTGTGAAGTATAAATGTTCCTCCTTGGTTTGACTACAAACAACCAAATTTTCAATGTTCCTTATTGCTGGATATTGCATTCCAAATGGCATGACTTTGCATTGATAAAGTTCATCTTATGTTACAAAAGCTGATATTTCTTTAGCTGTATCAGTCTACGGAACTTGCCAATATCCTGGTCATAAGTGAATTTTTGTCATTTCATTCGATATAGTCCTCCAATTTGAAACAGGATATGAGGTTACTTTTGTTACCATATTGATTTTTGTAATAATCAACATAGTGTCTTTCTGACAAATCCACTTTCAACACCACCATGCTTGGTGAGCTGCAGCTACTATGACTTAGTTCAGTAATATCATTTTCCACCATGAACTTCATCTCTTCCCCTTACATGAGCTAATCTTTCTGGATTGAGTTTGTAAGGACGATGTTTTATAGATAATCCATCCTCAAGATTAACAGCATAATCAGCCAAAACCATTTTTCCTGGCCTATTCCCATAATAATATTACCTTAACATGTTAATGTGACACACTCAATGATTCTTTTTATTGTATGGAATACTCACCACATAAGTCATATTATTGAGTTTCTTTTTGAACCAACAAGTCCAATAATCTTTCCTTTTACGTGTTTCCCAGAGACGGGTGACAACATTAACACATTGTCTCAGCAACAACATTTCAAACTTTGGCCATTTTACCAGATCTAATTTTATATGTTTGTTGGGCTCTATTCAAATTTTTTTTTTTAGCCAGTTCACATGCTTTGGTCAGTTTCTCTCTGAAATTCAAAACCTAGGATAGAAGCATAGTCTCTGAGCTTTGGTTTATCAATTTTTCTTTAATTAATTTAAATGGTCTTTTTAATTCATGTTCACATATTAATTCAAAAGATCCATGTGGTGTCATTGGGTGCATTGGTAATGGTAAACAGTAACAAAGAAATTCCTATATCCTAATCATTAGGACATTATTGACAATAAGCTTTAACCATGGTCTTTTCGATACACCTTGAGATTATAGGTGATAAGCAAAAGATGTAAATTGTTTTATTCCCAAACCATTCTTCATTTCTTTGAATAGTTGGGACATAAAGTCTGAGCCTTAATCTTTTTGTATTCCAAATCTTTTAAATAAATTGGACTAACTTTTCCACGATCATGTCTGCACTAAAGGCACTGTTTTAGGAAATCTTGTGGAAACATCTATAATCATTAAAGGATATCGATTCCTTTTCCTTGTTTTTAATGTTTTAACTCATGTTTTCCTAATACCAAAGTGACCTATCAATGAAATTCCACTAGCAACTTGCAAAATTCCATTACAATACTCAGATGGAACTACCACCTGATGGACCACTGACCATTCTTCATTGGCTGGTATTTGAGGTGGTCTCCAATTCCTCATTTGTTCTTTGTCTTTCAAATACCAACAGTCAAGTATTGTTTCTGTTTCACCTTCTCTGTAAGCTATTTGATATAACTGTTTGTAATTCCAAATCCATTTGTTGCATTTCCAAGAAAGAAGATGGGCCAAAGAAATCAGCTTTATTCTCCTTACCATCATTCTTTACAGTTACATTTTTGAAAATTTTATTTAACAATCTTAGGTTTATAATTTTTTTCCTCAGTTTCAATTTTCTTCCCGTCTAATTCTGTGAACCTGAGATCTAGTCACACACAGGAAATAAATCTAGGATATTCCTCCTGTATCATTTCAGTTTCTTTTACCTCCACTGATTACTCCACTGGTTAGGTCAATATTCTTGTAACCGTCAGATCATTTTCCAAAATAAAGTCAAATCCTTCTGTAGGAATTTATTTTACTCCTGCCAATACAACTACTCCATTTAAAAAGTTACCCTTCAATCCAACACTGTAAAATGAGACTGGAAATTTAATCTCCTTGTATATCTCTAGTTAATACTTTCTCCTTCATTAACCCCTCTGACAGACAAATAGTGTCATCAGCCAACATCACTGATTGACTTGCTCCAGCAGCTCTCAATATCTTTAGTATTTTTCCATCTTGATTGGAAGCAAAAGGAAATACTTCTCCCTTTGAGATAAAATACTCAAGAACCTTCAAAAGTCTGAATCTCCTTCTCAATATTCAAAAATAATCTTCATGACTTTCTGAGCCATCTCTTCCTTCTTGTACATTCCAAGGAAACATATTTTCTTTTACCACTACTACAGTTTTAATACATATATCTTGCCCTGCTGCCCCTTTTCTGAAGATTCTTTAGACTTTCATGCGTATGCAATTGGTCTCCCACTTAACTTCCACTAGTTGGCTTTGGTATTTCCAGTCTTATTACAATGGAAGTATCTTAGTTTTCTCATATTATTTTTTGTCCTAGTCTTTCTCATTAATTATGTTGCTATTCTTCTAAAATGAGGACTTCTTCCATCCACTTGTCCAGTTATCTGTGTTTGTCATAATTTCTATATATCACAATTACTATCTGGATAGAACTGGACTGGATAGAAAACAATACTGCACTGGTTAATAAAGACATTTATTTAAAACCTTCCATGCCCTCAGGATGTCCTGAAGTATTTTACAGCCAATTAAGTATTTTTGGTGTGTAATCATGGTTGTAATTTAGGGTAAATTTAACAAAAATAAAATCAGCACTTATCGGTGAAGTGCATGCAAAATTGAGGTAGGAAACAGACCGTAAAGCAAAGCAAGTGGTATACAATGGAGTTATTTATAAAATCATCACTTTGACAAGATGTAAGTAAGATATTACTGTTTTGCTCATGTTATCTCATTTGGGAATGTATTTTTCTGTCAAACAGAACAGTTGCACATGTTTCATAGATTGCTATACTCTGAAGTACAGCACACTGAAATTTACTCCAAAGATTGACAATTTTCAAATGGAAAGGGTGCATCACAGAACAATTTGCCAGAGCATTGAGTTTTGATGAGATTCTGCAGAATGTCATCAGGCATTGTGCTCTTGTGAAACAAAGTTAGGAAGTGACTGATTCAGAGATAGTCGGAACTGCAGATGCTGGAGAATCTGAGATAACAAGGTGTGGAGCTGGATGAACACAGCAGGCCAAGCAGCATCAGAGGAGCAGGAAGGCTGATGGTTCGGGTCTGGACCCTTCTTCAGAATTGGGGGAGGGGAAGGGGCATTCTGAAATAAATAGAGAGAGAGGGGGAGGCGGATGGAAGGTGGATAAAGGAGCAGATAGGTGGAGAGGAGACAGACAGGTCAAGAGGACGGGGATGGAGCCAGTAAAGGTGAGTGTAGGTGGGGAGTTAGGATGGGGGTTGGTCAGTCAAGGGAAGACGGACAGGTCAAGGAGGTGGGGATGAGGCTAGTAGGTAGGAGGTAGGGGTGGGAGTTGATGTGAGAGGAGCGGATGGGTGGCGGAAAAGACGGACAGGTCAAGGAGGCGGGGACGAGCTGGGCTGGTTTTGGGATGAGGTCAGAAGGTGGCCCCAAAAACCAGTCCAGCTGCCTCACAGCACCAGGGACCCAGGTTCGATTCCCCTTGGGCAACTGACTGTGTGGAGTTTGCACATTCTCCCCGTGTCTGCGCGGGTTTCCTCCCGCAGCCTAAAATTGTGCCAGCTAGGTGGATTGGCCATGCTAAATTGCCCATAATGTTCAGGGATGTATACATTAAGTGCGTTTAGGGAATGGGTCTGGGTGGGATGCTCGGATAGTTGGTGTGGACTTGTTGGGCTGAAGGGCCTGTTTCCACACTGTACGGATTCTGTAATAAACTTTTCTGCTCCTTTGATGCTGCCTGGCCTGCTGTGTTTCTCCAGCTCCATACTGTGTTATCTAGTGATTGTTAGTCTGCTGGCAAATTCCAAACTGGCAATGGTAGGTGGAGTGAGCAGGATGGGATGGAGATTAAAGGCAAGAATAAAGATGTAGTGAACAGAATCTATATTTGCAGCCATTCAGATAAGCAAGATTTATAGTATATTTTCTTGTAAAGGCACTTTCCAGGGTGGGATCCAGCGCATTGATGACTTGCTGGTTTCTTAATGGAGGTATGTTGGTTCAGCAGTAATGCAATCCTAGGAATTTTGATGTGGTTTCACAATCATTGGGTTGACTTTATGATTTCTAACTGCAGTCAGTCATCGTTTGCAATAAACTGCTGTTATGCTGTGGGTTTATTAATGAGCTATCAACAACTTTCAGGATTTCTTTCAATATTTATATCAGACTGCTGAAGGCAGATGGGACAAAATTGTTTTTGAATTTTATATACTCATTATTTATTTATTATGATGAAAATTGGACAATTTTCCAAATGTAATGCACGCTGGCTAAATGCATAATTAGAAAGATTTCAAATATTTGCATGCATACTGTGCTATATGAGAAACATCTTATATCATTTCAGATGCAATTACTTAGAAAGCCAGTGACTGTTGGTATGTAGGCCAATCTAACAACCACTTTATGTAGAGCAATATTGTTATAATCCCACTGGAACCAGGATATTCACAAACATACCAAGCAACTCCAACAAAGGAATGATATGGACAACATTTGAATTTTGCTATGACCCAGTGCTTTTGTTTGATTGAAACTAGTTTCAGTTTCTCCAGACAGCCATCCTTTCCTAGAAACCTGATGTTTCAATTTCCACTTCAGTGAGGACTGTTGAAAACCGAAAACGAAACAAACTTTGAAACTAGGGTCAGTGAGTCATTGGAATGTTCAACTGGTCACCTGTTTGGGAAATGGCTTACACGTGTTTCCTACCCTGGATTCTATCACAATATCCAAGATTATTATCGGAAAATGATCAGTTGTAGCTCTGGTCCAAAAGGTAATAGGTTAAACCTGTCAAAGATACTTGACTGCAGCATGAGGTTACTTATGCCATTTCATAAGGGGCAGGAAATTCTAATGATGGGTTGGCCGATATTTCTTACTAAATTATTCCACTTTAAAAACAAAATTAAGTGGGCATTTGTATAATTGCTATTTGTGAAGACAATTATTTCTGGCATTAAGGCCATTTTTTTTCCTTAACCTGACTATTGAACAATGACCAAAGTCATTGAATCATACCAGCAGTTGAGTAATTTCAGTCAGTTTTGGCAAATGATTAATTGCTTCCTTAAACCATGCTTGTTGGATTCAATTAATAGAGAATATTTATCGAACAGCAGGTAGCAGGGAAAGCTTGTCTGTTTCCTGGCATCTGCATAAATAAATCCACAAAGAACTAACATCAGGCAAATTGAAATTCACCTGGTATGTTGAATTCTACAACTATGAATATCTAAAAGTTCATTTCACAACATAACAAGTTAGCATTACCCATGTCATAGTCTTTGTTAAGTACATATTCATTGTTACTTGAAACCCTGATATAATTTCTAACAACTAGCAGTTAAAATTAGCTGTTTGGAATGATGTTCTTAAATGTACCTTCAGGTCCATTTTAACATTTTCAACATCACAGAATCATACAACTTGCATTGTCGAAGAAAGCCATTCAGCCATCATATCTATACTGGCACTACATGTTATGCCTACATAACAGTTACTGCACACCAAGTAATTCATTATTGAAGTACAAGCTGTGAAGAACATTTCTACTGACAGCAAATGAATAATCCTACCATTATACTCATCTGCACAGACAGAGCAGGAGCTCCCAAACAGGGGAATATATAGGGGGAAGAAACTGCACTGAGGCTCCACATACCAAAGAGAAAATATTCCTAGCTCAAGGGTAGTTGAGGCATTGGCAAGATGCTGAGGGAAAGTTAGGAAACTCTACCAATGGCAGAAACTGCTAGCCTCTCACATGTAGCTTCAGGTGTTCAGTTTCAAGGGGTGTTGGTACTTGTGGGAGCAGGTCAGTCCTTTTAACTTGAGGGAACTTGAAATGGACCAGAAGTTGCTCGTTGCTGGGATGTTGATGAAAATTTTAAAAGTCATCAGAATTAGAAAAATAAAATATTAAAACTCTTAAAGTGTAGATAAATAATGTTAACTTTCATGACCGCACCAGTAGATGTTGTGGAATGGTAGAATATAACCAGATAACTCAAATCATTCAATACAACTAAAATTATACAAATGTGGCTGTTCAATTTAATACTTACTGTGTCATTTCTACTTCAGGTGTAACATTGCAATGGAACATTGTGCATTAGTAACATATACAGTGTGACTCATTCAATTCCAAATAATAAACACTTTATTAACACATATGAATGTTAACCATTCCAGGAATTTGTTTATTAAGACTAGTTCAATGGAAGCAACATTTCCCTTTTCGCAAGGGTCTTCTCATTAAACTGTGTGTATAGCACACGTGAAGAGAAACAATGTTCAAACACTAATTTTGTCTGTCCTTATCTCTCTGTCAAGGTTCAAAGCAAAACTCTGGCTGTGTGAGGATCACCCACTTTCCCTCTCTGAGCAGGTAGCTCCCATCATCGATCTAATGGCAATAAGCAATGCACTTTTTGCTAAACTTAGGGACTTCATCACTCTTCGGCTCCCCCCAGGATTTCCAGTCAAAATAGGTGAGTAACTGAATATAAATTCTGCATTTTCATGTGCATTTTTCTTTGAATGTTACGCCAGCAAATCAACTAAACTCATTCATATCAAAGAGAATAATGAATTATAAATTCTTAAGAGCTTATTATTGCCATCCTGCAAATGAAACTTGCATTTCCTGTGTTATTGCTTAGAGTAGCTTGGGACCTGTAACACAGCTGCTAGGATGGAGCTGTGTTTAACATAGCCTGTTTCTTCAGAGCTACTGTTTAGGTATTTCATGTGGGAAATTGTTCAAACCAGACATACCCTGAGATCTGTTAGTGGTTATTTGCTTGGAAAAGTCCAGTAGATCAGCAGATGTTTTTAATAACCAATTTTTCTTTACCCTTAGGAAAGCTCAGAGTTTCAAGGTCAAAAAACCCAGCAGAAAATGTTTGAATTCCATTCCCGTTTTAAAGGAAAGTCTATTTGACATCTGAAATGTGAAGTGTTACTCTTGTTGATCGCATCCCCCCCCAGTCCCAAAGTCTTTCCTTGGCCGTAGTGCAGGTGGTTATACAGGGGGTTACCTGCAGTAGCTTTTCTAGACTTGATCTCACCCCGGCTTGTGCTAACAGATCAAATCACTGGCATTTTCTGATGGCTTTAGACTTCAAGCATTATGGAAACCTATAATATACAACCATGCGAAGTTGTGACTGTGTAATTCAGCCGTTATTCTTGCTTCAGTTAATCAGTTTGAGTCCCCTTCATTTCAATGATTAACCTAGGCTGATATTTGTCTGCAATTCTGAAGGAATGCTGCACAGTTAGAATTAATGGACCTTTGTGGGCATATTAATTGAGATTCTTTTTGGCTGTTCGAGGAAATGGTAAATTGCAAGCTCTGAGGCAGTTCCCAATGGTTTGGGTTCAGCAACACCGGTTGACCTCATTCTTTTATACTCAGGAGTTTGCCCCTGCTGATGAATATATAGTTAGCAATAGCATGGCACAAACATTTCAGAAGAGAACCTCTTTGTAAATAAGAACAATAATAAATCATACCACCTTATGTTGGGGCTGCCCAAATGGATCTGATATTGCTCAGATTGCATCAGACTGAAGCTTAATTTTGGGTTTGGTCAGTTACATTCTTCAAACAAACTGCTCTGGCCTTACTCAGAAATAATTTGGTAAGATGCACTGAGTGGGAGGCAACATGAATGTTTTTTTTTGTCCTTTGTCCAACAGGAAACTGAAGCCTTTATTCATGATCCCTTCCTTTCTCTCCCAGAATTGCCCAGCAACAACCAAATCCTCTTCCTTTCAATGGCTTTGTGCAAACATCAACAGTGTAACATGTTTGCTGAGAATGTGGCCAACTATTTAATATTTGACCTTTGACAAATAATTTCTGATAAATGACAGCACATCCGCTGTATGCCATGAACACCAGTTTCTATGACTGCTCACTGACTCTCAAAGAAAAGAGCTTGTCAATATTTTAATTTGTCCTTTGGCCAAACAGTTCCAGCAAAACCTTAAGTCATAGCAGATGCATGTTGTTGCTGTGTGTTGATGCAAAACTCCAAAAGAGATCCACATCAATAAAATAAAGAAAAGAAGGAAATTATCTTGATTAACTCATACCAGCAAAATATACCTGATTAATTTGGATTTTTCTGATTCAGATATATTTCAATAAGAAAGAAAAATTCCGAAGGGAGGACTCACAATCCATGGTTAACTAACTAAGTTAAACATGCTGTAGTATTAAGCTTAAAGAAAATCCTTTCAATTGTATGAGGATGTGTTGCAGATCAAGATATTTGTTAAGGTTCAGTGGGGGTTTAGTAGGATATAACTCTACGAGTTAAGTGATACAAATTAACATGTTTATTGGTGGTATACAAAATTGTGATGGATATACTAATATATTAGATATTAATTTAAATTAATATTAATTTAATATATTGTGATAAATATTTGTATGTACATTAAGCAGTAAATATTATATTAAGCAGTAATCTACTTCAGCTATATTAGAAACACATGCAAACTAATGAGTGCTGAAACGACTGTAGACATGTTCACCAATGACCCTCACTGCCTCCTGCCTATCGGGAAACCCGCTTTACAATGGCTGGTCTGGAGAATTCGGGGTTCCTGCCACTATTCGCAATCTTGGTCCAAGGCAAATGGGGCAAAGTTGCCAATATTAATACTATTCTGAATCTGGGCTGATGTTGTATCATCATTCCATGGTACTTTCAGTACTTTTCCAGAATTCCATTATGCTGAAACAACATGTCCAGGTGGCCCCGTCTAATGGCTCTTCAAGACAGTTCCCACAGATAAGTTTGTACATTTCAGTCAAAACGGGCTGTTTTTGCATTGGGCCTGTTTTCCAGGGCTTTTCACTTTATTTCAATTGCGCCTTGTCACGTCCAATTAACCCTTAGTGATTAACCTGTAATGGTCAGGTTTGAAGACATTTTTTTTTAAGCCATCCACTACATAGAATATTAAAAATAAAGGAGATTTACGAGGAGGGAAATATTAGAGTCTGAGAGAAAGGTAGTGAGAAATATATTTTACAAGATAGTCAGAGTGTCTATATATATTTAAAAAGGAGACGAGTTAACAAAGTGAACTTTGGTCCTACAGAAAGTGAGTCTGGGGAATTAATAATGGAAAAAAGGATGTAGAGATGAATTGAATAGGTTTTTTGTTTCAGCCTTCAGCAAAGAGGATGCAAGTAACATTCCAAAAAAAGCTGTAAACCAGGAAATGGAAGGCAGGCTTAAATGGAAGACAATTACAATCATCAGGGAAGTGGTACTGAGAAAATTGTTGGATCTGTGGGCTGGGTCCTAAAAGGAAGTAGCTAGTGAGGTGGTTGATGTATTGACTAGAATTTTCCAAAGTTCTCTACATTCAGGAAAGGTTCCATTAGGATGGAGAAGAGTGAATGTAACTCCTTTATTCAAAAAGGAAGGGAGACACAGTGGGAACCTACAGGCCAGTTAACTTAACAATTGCCATAGGAAAGATCTTAGAAGCTATTATTTTCTTATAGCAGAGAACTAAACAAGTTGAAGATAATCAGGCAGAGTCAACAGGTTTTATGAAAGGGAAAGCATGTCAACTAATTTATTTGAACTCTTTGAGAAAGCAACATGTACTATGCATAAAGGCTAACCAGCTGATCTATTGTCGTGGGATTTCTAGAAGACACTTAATCAAGTGCCACATCAAAATTTATTGTGGAAAATAAAAGCTCATGGTGTAAGGGTAACATGTTCATAGAATCCCTGCAGTGTGGAAGCAAGTCCACACTGACCATCCAAAAAGCAACCCACCCCATCCCTGTAACCCCCCATTTTCCATGACTAACGCACCAAGCCTGCACATCCCTGGACACTGTGAGCAATTTAGTCCACCTGACCTGCAAATCTTTGAACTGTGGGAAGAAACTGGAGCAAACACAAGCAAACTGGGGAGAATGTGCAAACTCCACACAGACAGTCACCTGAGGCTGGAATCAAACCCAGGTCCCCGGCCCTGTGAGGCAGCAATGCTAACCACTGAGCCACCATGCCATCCTAATGTCATGGATAGATGGTGGGCTAGCTAACAGGAAATCGTAGTCATAAATGGGTAATTTTTTTTGTTTGGCAATGCAATGAGTGGTGTGCCACAGGCTTCAGTGCTGGGGTCTCAGGTTGTTCCATTTTATATATTTGACTTGGATGAAGTGATAAAAGGCAAGATTGTTAAATTTGCCAATGACACAAAATCAGATAGGCAAGGAAGGTATGAAGGGGACATTATGATGCTACAAATGGATATAGGTAGGGTAATTGAGTGGGCAAAGATCTAGCAAACGGAATACAATGTGGAAAAAAAAGTCAAATTATCCATTTTGGCAGGAAGAATAAAAATGGAACATATCACCTAAGTGGTGAGAGATTGCAAAACTCTGAGATACGGAGGGATCTGGGTCTTCCAGGACATGAATGACAACAGTCTAATATGCAAGTACAACAAGCAATTGAATATAAAACTAAGAAGGTTATGCTTAAGTCTAACAGGGCATTGGTAAGCCCACATCAGGAGTACTATATACAGTATTGCTGTCCTCCTTATTTAAGGAATGATGCAAATATACAGTATTGGAATCAGTTCAGGAAAGTTTTACCAGACTCATACCTGGAATTGAGAGGGTTGTCTCGTGAGGAAGATTGGACAGATGAGGCTTGTATTGCTGGAGTTTAAAAGAGTAAGGAGGCGACTTAATTGAAACATAAAAGAACTTGAGGGGTCTTGACAGGGTGTATGTGAAAAGGAAGTTTTTTCTCGTGGGAGAATCTAGATTTAGAAGTCCCTGTTTATAAAGATGGGGGTCACACTTTTAAGTCTGAGATAAAAAGAATTTTTTACTCACAGAGAGTTGTGAGTCTTTGCAATCTCCTTCCTCAAAAGGCAGTGGAAAAAGATCCTTTGAATATTTAAGTGCGGGATGGATAGATTTTTGATAACCAAGAAATTAGTGGGGAGTAGGGGTGATCATGGAGTAATCAGATTTGCGTGATCTTATTGATTAGTTGAGTCAGATTGAGGGGTCAAGTGGCTACTTCTGCTCTTAGTTCATATACTCATAATGTCTTCCCTAATCACAAGTCCAACAATAGTTGCTGCTTTGATACCCTTTGAGAGTATGACAGGGTGCTGGATAAATGCAAATATTTGTCTTTGTATCCAATCTTTTCAACTGTTTTCTAACATAGTCTAATGGGAGAAGGGATCTTTTAAATTTCAATGATGATTTTGAACTTGCAATATTTTAGCTTTATACAGAGAGCTCAACAATTTTTAAATCTTCTTTGCAGAAATTCCAATTTTTCACATCTTGAACGCTCGTATCACCTTTGGGAACCTGAATGGCAGCGATGAACCTGTAACCTCCATCAGGAACAGTCCTACCAGTGAGGCTCCATCTCCCAGCAGTGATACGTCCAGTGTGAGCAGCTCCAGCTCCATGAGTATGTGTTTAAGAGTCTGAGTCTGTGATCAATTATCAGTAATTAGTATGGTCAACTGCAGATAAACACACCTTAACATTCCAGTGTTAAACCCTGCCCACAAACTCACATTGTACTCATTTAGATTCTGTGCACAAAATGGGCAACTGTGAAACCATTTTACATAACGCCTAATTTCCATTCCCCAAATAAAAGTCAGGAGGTATGAAACAGATAACCGATTTCCCTCTGCCCATTTTACACCATTGTGTAAAGTCAAACTTATGCCATTGTGTTAAAACATTAACGTTTCCTATACAATTTAACATGAAGGCAAATAGCTAACCACAAGCTTGATGTAGTAAGTATATGGAAACCCTGATCCAGGTTTCAAGGTGTTTCTGCACTTTAAAGTTTTTGAGAAGATTCTTGGCTCGGGTTGTGGGTGATGTTGTAGACTTGCTCGCTGAGCTGGTGTGTTTGATTGCAGACGTTTCATCACTCTGGTAGGTAACATCATCACTACGCCTCCAGTGAAGTGTTGGTGTCCTATCCTGCTTGTTATTTATATGCCTCGGTTTGCTGGGGTGGTTGGCATCACTTCCGGTTCTGTTTTTTTCAGTGGTTTGTATATCGGGTCAGTTTAATGTGTTTGTGAATGGAGTTCCGGTTGGAATACCAAGCCTCTAGGAATTCCCTGGCATGTCTCTGTTTGGCTTGTGCTATTATGGATGTGTTGTTCCAGTCGAATTTGTGTCCTTCTTTGTCCGGTGTGCATTGAGACCAGTGAGAATTGGTCCTGTCTCTTGGTGGCTAGTTGGTGTTTGTGTATCCATATTGTCAGTTTTCTTCCAGTTTGGACTATGTAATGTTTTACACAGCTCTGCGATGGACCACAAGAAGAAGATACAACATGGCCAGACACACTAGTCACATACATCACAGACATATCAGAGGTGACCACAAAACTACTCAGACCCCTAGATAGCCCACAAACCAACAACCACCCTGCGACAGCTACTGACAAACGTAGAGGATCCCATACCCACAACCAATAAAACTAAAGTAATATACAAAATACCAAGCAAGGATTGTGGGCTCTGAAATATCTGATACTATTGGAGCCCATGTGTCTCTTGTTGGCTGCATTTCTATAACATGGAAACATTAATGCATTTGTTGGCAGGTGAAGTGCAATATAAATGTCAGTGTGGTATTTAAAGTTATAACTTCCACGTTTATCAAGAGACTTGCATACCAGCACATTATAAAATGCCAGGAACACATGCCCAGCACTGACATTACTCAGCTGTCTGTGGGTGAAACAGAAGGATGCAGAACCAAGGGGAAAAATACTAGAAACAGTTTGGCATTCAGAAGACAAAAAGGGGGTCTGGGCTTTCCACAAGCTGGAAGTATTTATTTTAAGGAAGTTTTTATTTTAAGGAAGTATTTATTTTAAGGAACTTTGACAATTCTAACAAATTACAGTCTACTTGATGCAAGCCGTGTGATAGCTGTCTTTAGCAGGTGCAGTTGTGTTGTGCTAGAAGCTACTTTATAATATTATTCTCTGTCAGAAGATTAAGAACAGTTTTATGCAGCTATATTTTCCAATTGAGTGCACTAATTAAGTGAACTCAACCAGGGACTGACAACCTCCTGCTTAACAAAGCCAACACATCAGATAAAGCATGATGAGAAATCAGAATTGAGAATGAGTTACAAGTTCAACATCACTGTAAAAAGCAGTATGTTGGAGCATAAGAATTTTCAAGTGGATGTGGGGCATAGGATAGCATTGAAGGTAATTATTATTTTTAATTGTGTGGCTTTCCCTTTTGCTGAAATACTGGTCTGAAGCAAATGGCAACTGACATTATCTAAATAAAAAGTACTTCATATATTATGCAGAACAAATGCTGTGTTTGTCTGCTAGATAGAACACTGCACTAACAGAGCACCACCTCTCTGGACAGCAAAGCAAGGGAGAGAAAATTCTAAGTACAAATGCATCCTCCCTGTCAGTCAATATTGCAACAAACACCTGAGACATCATTCCATGGGACATAATCTAGCTGGAGAACCAGCAAGAAAGGAATAAGTATGTGGTACAAAACAGACCAGTACAAAGTGCTTTCATTTGGATTTGAATGAGGAAGACAGCTGCTTAAGAAAATCAGGGGCTAGTGTCATCGCGCCACTGGCCCTTTGCTCGAACCGAACATAGAATGCATTGAGCGCATCAAGGCTCAATGAGAACAGAAGTAAGTTGTGGCCCCTCCCTGTCCATGCTTCCAGTTAAAGTCATAAGACTTGGGCATTTGCCTTTGGGCTAAGACCTGTTGGCAGTAGTAAAACCATACCCAAAGACATCACAAGAGGAGGAGGGAATAAAGCTTTTCTTTTAATATAAATTTATACTATAAATAAGGTTCTTTTTATTCATTCAAGAGATGTGGACATCAATGGCTGGACTATAATAAGTTACTTCTGGTTATGCTCCAGCATTTTATAATTAGCATACCTTTTGGTTAGCAAAGTCGTCACGCTTCTTGAAAGCAACTTTCACAGCCTTTATTTGATGATTGATTTTCCCCTTCACTCTCTCCATGATCTCTTTATATCCTGAATTACTCAATGCACCATTGCCCATTGTGAGGGGCTATGAAAGAAAGTCGTCAAAATCCTAGCAGAGTCCCAAAATTTGCTGTAACAGATATCACAGATGTCATTCATGCCAAAACATGGTCTGCAATCAATCTTTTAGAAGCAAAATTCTCATCTTTTAAAAGAAATTTGAAAATCAAAAAGTATGAATGAAAATACAGTCTCCAGTTTGTATTTTTAACTGCCAATGCTAGTAACTATTTGCATGGGTCCATGGGCAGAAGCAGTGTTAGCTTTCCAATTACTTTATCTCTCTCTTTAGTTCCAGCCTCTGGCATATATGTACTAAGCTCCTAGGAGTTAAGGATGGGGCTTTCCTTCAGTACTAATTGCAAGTCAGAGGCATGAACAAAACAGTTCTGTAGTGTATCAATTACTGACATGACATAATTGCACTTCATCCACCAAAATAATCACTGTAGTTTATTCCATATGAAGCATTCATAAACACTAATAATGTAGTTCCCATTTATAATACCCACTGCAGAGACTCACCAAGGCTGCTTTGACAGCACCTTCCAAATGCGACGTCTAGCACCTAGAAGGACAAGGGCATCAGATGCACAAGAACACTTCCACTGGCAAGTTCTCCAAGCCACATACCATCTTAACTCGTAACTATTTTGCCATTCCCTCACGGTCGCAGGGTCAAAGTCCTGGGACTTCCCCTTCCTAACAGAAATGTCTGTGCACCTATGTCCCAAGGACTACAGTGGTTCAAACAGCAGTTCACTACCATCTTCTATCTGGCAACTTTTGTTTCGATGTACTCTATGTTAGTGATGTATATCATGTCAAAACTCATGAATTAATCTTGAAACCTTCATTGTGTTGTGCCATGTCATTAAAATCTTTACTGCATTGCTGGAGATGAATATTTATCATTATGAGTTCTTGTAACTCATGATCCAATAGAAACAGATTGAATTAGTTGATCGTTTTGCCCTTATTCCTTTGAGTAGATTAATGTTTTTGAGCATAAGCATTGTGAAGTTTATTAATAAAACCAATACCATTAAAGCTCATTCAGAAATGGAAGGCTGAATTAAGAGAGACAGAGTTGAAAATGCTGGCAGATGGTTAGAAACAGATACAAAAGCTAGGATCTTCCTGTTTTTGGATTAAATCTGAAAGCATGAGTGTTACCAGGAGGGAAACTCACAGCCTACTAAAGTGAGAAAACCCAATGGAAATTCTGGTAAACAGGCAGCTTTCTACTGGATTTAGGACTCGGGATCAGGCTGCCATGACTGCCTAGAGTTCTCAGCCAACCTAAGGCCAGCAGCTCCAGAACTCAGCAGTTCCATGCAGAGGCTGTAGCTACTGCCAGGACACCAACCCTGCACTCCCAGGCTGAGGGATCACCTATGAAAAAGGTAAGTACAGGTAATTCTGCTATAACATATGTTTCGTTAACACGAATTGGCTGTAATGTGAGTGATGAATAGTGGATGCTGTTGGATAAGCAAACTTTCTGCTGTACAGGTATAGCAATTTTCTGTAGCTATTTCCCTATAATGCGATTTTCTATGGTGATTTTCTATAGCACAAGGTCACACAAGAATACAACTATTGTGTTATAGGAGAACTATGTGTACTGTTTGGGGGTTTTGTATGTGTACTTTGTCTTTAAGAGATTTCACCTTTAAGGACTGTACATACTGAGTGTACACAATGTTGCAACTCACCCTGTCAGTTAATTTAATTTTGTTGAAATGTCTGTTGCATAAATTAAAATGTGTTTTACTGTTTTAAGTAAACTAAACTATGGAGTTAATCAATCCCTAATGAGTGATTGATTATTAGTCCATTATCATTAACATGACATGGTGAATAACAGGGGAAAACATCGGACTAATGAGGCACAATAGGCTTGAGCATTCCACAAGTAAATTTGTCTGCAGTTGAAAGCACGGTTGATAGTCTAAATCAGGCTAAAATGCATGAGACAATCATCAATGTCATTCTTCAATATTGGCTTGGAGACTAATGAAAACACAACTTGTTGAGAATCAGACAAATTCCGATTAAGAAATTATTTTAACTCACTTGAGAGAAATGATCAGGTGTGTGACAGAACAAAAGCAAGCAAGGAAAGGTCAAGGGCTTATTATCACCCTAGGCCTCATTGCAAAAAACCCTCCAAAAACCTGGACGTAACTCATTCTTTGCCAAAAAAAGCCTAAGATTCAGCCCGAAGCAATATTTTTCAGAGAAAACCCACAGTGAGTACAAAGCACATTCAAATACAAGTTCACTTTTAACAGGGGGTAAGCACATAGTTTTAATATTGTTCCACATCCTCCTGCTCTCTATGTTTGCACTGCCAGTGGCAGTAGCAAAATAGCAGGCAGCTCAGAATCACACGCATCTAAGAGATCTCTGAACCAAAAAAACATAACACTAATGCTAACTTTTTATTATACTTACAGTCCATCCTAATTGGACTCCATTGTCTTACTGAAACATGAGGGTTTAGTCAGAGGAAGTGTATGAGTTGAGGTCTAAGTTTTTATTTTGTTCTCCAAATGCAACTTTTGTTATAATTAGAGTTGATTCATGAAGGAGAATAAGCATTTGTATTGATCCAAAGAGTTGTACAGGCAGTGAAGTATTTTTGAAGTTGTCATCACTGTTGCAATGTTAGAAACACAGTCGCCAATATGCACACAGTCAGCTCTCATAAATTACAGTGTGATAATGATCAACTAATCTGGCTTGATGATGCAGACTAGCAGGTAGCAGATTGGTCAGGACTTGAGGTTAACTCCTCTGCTGTTCTCTGAAACAGTACGCTGGGATCTGAGGGGAGCAGACAGGGCCTTGGAATTCAGGCCTCATCTGGAAGACTGCACTGCTGACAGAGTATCACTCTCTCGGCGATGCACTGGAGTATCAGCCAACATTTCAATCTTTAAATCCAGAGTGGGACTTAAGCCCGCGATGTTCATATAGTGGTAGTGCTATGCATGGTATCACTGGTGAATTTTTGTTAAAACTAATTAAGTACCTTTTATATGATGTCATCAATTTACAAATTTTCAGAAGTCTTTTTCATTTTAGTAACCATTTCAGTAAGGTAAATCCATTAACTATTAACAGTCTAACTATACTGGCTTCAGCATGTAGTGATACATAGTGGTTGCTCTTATATTTCTCTGGTGCAGCAGGCTTCAGTAAGTAAGTAAGTCTCCTGCTAGACCCTAACATGAGGATTTTATACACTTAGCGGTGACAGTCTGGCTGGATTCTTGGAGGCTGATGGTGGGGGGGATCTGTTTTATTTAATTAACTGGGCCTTTCTGATCATTAACCATCGCAAACCTGGCCACTTCACTCTTGCTTTGCCACCAGCTAAGCTAGATTGACATTATCAGGAGCCAGCAGCACTAACACAGTGCTAAAGCAAAAGAAAAGCAACAAATTAGATGGCACTTGTTAATGGAAAAAATCACTTAAGGGAAATACATGCTTTCCATTAAGTAAACACTGTAGGATTTATAAATGCAATAAAGTGGCATGCATGGTCTGCACTAAGTTAGCTGCAAACAGTAATTAGTCTACTGTAGTTAGCACAGTGTTCCTGAAAGTAGGGAAATCAGATAATCTTCCCATTCTTGAAAGCAAATGTGTAGACATTGTTTAGTAACAGGTTTGAGACAAGACAGCAGTTGATTGCTGTACTAGTTTCACTACGTGATCAATGTGCAATACCAGGGAGCTGCTATATGTAGAATTGTACTCTAGAAGCAATACTTTGAAAGCAGAAGAGATTTTAAACAGTTTAAAATTGGATCTCTAAGAGTGAATAAGAAGGAACTGTCTAAACTGGCAAAAGGATTGGTAACCCAGAAACACACCTTTGAGGAAATATTTGGCAAAAAGACTAGAGTGTATAAAATAATTGTTTTGGTATTTGGGATTCCACTCTTTGAAATGGTGGTGCAAGTGGATTTAATGGTAACTTTCAAAAATGGATTACACTTAAAAAGGGTAGATGAAAAAGCAGGCCTATGGAGAAAGTGAAGGGGAATATGCCAAATGGATAGTTCTTTCAAAAAACTGTCAGGGGTAGGATGAACTGAATCAACTCCTGTGCTGTATGATTCCAACTCTGCAATCAATGAATTTGTCTTTACAAAATGCTTTTCTTCGATCTGCTGACTAAAATGTATGAAATGGTGTCGTTCGATTATCTTAATATCACTAGTCCTACTGTCCACAGAGACTTTCCTATTTCAATTAAATTTGCAAAGAATGTTGCACTTACGCAATGGAACTTTAACTCAATCCTTGGAACAGTGGGGTTTCCAATGAACTTAGAATCACACAGTCAAACAGGACAGCAGTTTGGCATTGGACTGTGCCATATCTTTGAATTCAGAAATTTCTAACTTTGCCAATACAAACGCAGCGTCTCTTTAAAAACAAAAGAAACCTTTGACTTTGTATGTTACATTTTAATTCATTAGCAGGCTTCTCCCATAACTATTGACAAAGTGTTTGTCTAAGATGATAAAATGGCAGATAGAATCTATTTTACACTGTAACATCAGTTAAGTTTGCAAGTTTTTCTTGGCAGCTTCGTGTCGTGGCTGTGATATGGACCCAGCACTCTTTGAAGTACCCAGAGGCTACACTGTGGTTGGCAGCAACCGGGATTCTCTGAGGGAAGAGGATGACGACCTCTTGCAGTTCGCTATTCAGCAGAGTCTGCTGGAAGCGGGCACTGAATATGACCAGGTAGGGCAGGAAAGTGGTCCCCTCTGATGTTAGCAATAAGAACTACATCTTAAATTCACACAATTCTTAAAATAAGTCAAGGACTGAATATCAAAAAGATTGAGAATATTCATACATCATATGGAAGTAACAGTTGAAGCTTTAGATGTGCAATAATAATAAATTATGTAAGGAATAACGAAAACCTGGATGTGATTATCTGAATAGTAATGTAATTGAGCAATTTAAATAATGTCATAAGATTGAAGTTTGAGTAGTTAGTTAAATCCCCAAAATGAGGTTATAGTTTTGAAATCACTTCCTGTGACTGAAAAAACTCGTATTGTCTATTATGCCAATTCTAGACAAGAGTCTATTCTGCATCTGGTTAATTCCTGTGCTGACAGCTGGTGTCATTGCAATGATAATTCCCTCAGGGGCAAAGTTTTCTTGATATGCAGTGACATTCATACAAGGGGATTCAGAGCTGGGATCTTATTGCTCCATAACTATTTGAATGGATTAAGTAATTTTACATCCACGGTAACCTGAAGATATGGTAAAGCACTATATAAATATATTTTATTTTGCATTTTGTCCACAGCACAATGGTGATTTATCCTTCTAAATCTTGAGTTAATTTCTTCCTGAATCCAGATCAAACACAATTCAATTTGAACTTAGCTTTGGCCAAAACATTTGTAATAAGAAGGTATGACAATTTTGAAAGAAACATAAAATACTTGAGCCCAAGAATTTCCTCAAGAGCTGCTCTCTTTCCACCAACCCCAGATAAATAAATACTCTCACTTAGCTTCCCAATGTACAACATTAAAAGGAGCTCATTACATCGTTAGCTGTACCGTGAGCACTGCCTCCACCATGTTCTGTCCTCTATAAATGAGAAGAAGGGAGTGAAAGTGTGACCATCATGGACACTGCCTGTTTGAACAAAGAATATGAAATGTTTCTCTTGATCTAAAATACTATATCACACCAGAAATGTAGCATGCTGCTGTTTCCATGTTTGATCCCAATAAATCCCAATCCTGCAGGTGTGATTGTCAGACAATACTGCACTAAAGTATGACACCGCACCATACTCCCAATGGAGTGTTATTATCTTAAGGAGGAATTGCTTGTATTGATCATCAGCTATAAATGAAGGATGTAGAAACATCAGAAACATTTCATTAGCCTTGTCCTTTGAAAATTTGTGTTGTAGCTCAAAGTTCTTGATGTTTTAAAATGGTATTACTACCAGTTGTGTAATGGTAATTTTATATGTGGAATAACCACACCTCCTCTGAGTTAGCTTAAAGTATCTTACCATATCTTCTTTAAATACATATTTATGGTTGAGTTATAAGTATTGTCCAGAAGAAATATTTATCTTATGTTTTTGGAAGAAAACAACAATTCTCCCAATGTTCTAATATCTGGTTCAGCAATGAACTCTCAGAATAAACACTTACTATGACATTTTTATATACACAAGTGACCTATTAGAGTCATTGAGTCATACAGCATGGAAGCAGACCCTTCAGTCTAACTAGTCCACACTGACCATGTTCCCAAACTAAACTGGTCCCACTTGCCTGCTCCTGGCCCATATCCCTCCAAACCTTTCCTATTCATGTACTTTTCCAAATGTCTTTTAACCGCTGTAATTGTACTTGCATCAGTCATTTTCCTCTGGCAGTTCATTCCACACAGGAACCACTCACTGTGTAAAAAGTTGTCCCTCAAGTCCTTTTTAAAACTATCTCCTCTCACCTTAAAATAAAAGCCCCAGATTTGAACTCCCACACCCTAGGGAAAAGACCCCTGCTTTTCACCTTATCTATGTCCCTCATGATTTTTTAAACCTCTATAAAGTTACCCCTCAACTTCCTATGCTGCAGTGAAAAAAGTCCCAACCTATCCAGCCTCTCCTTATAACTCAAACCCTCCATTGTCAGCAACATGCTGGTAAATCTTTTCTGAATCCTTTCATAACATCCTTCCTGTAGCAGGCTGACTAGAATTGCACACAGTATTCCAGAAGAGGCCTCACCAACATTCTGTACAACCTTAACATGACATCGCAACTCCTATACTAAAAGGTCTGAGCAATGAAGACAAACGTGCTAAATGCCTTCTTAACCACCCTGTCTACCTATAATGCAAACTTCAAAGAAATATGTACTTGCACCCCTAGGTCTCTCTGTTTTATAACACTATTCTCCATCAATATCACACCGACCTCGGATGAGAATTTTTCTTATGACAATGAGTCGTAGCATTTTGTAATATAACTTTCAAAGCAGAGGGACAGATGGTTTGTTCAAGATGCAGAGCAATAAATGAAATCCTGAATCAATTGCTACTTCAGATTTCACAATATGTCAAGATGCAGCACAGTCTCATCATATTTGGACATTCACAAACTTGACCTTTGATTTTTCAATTGCGTTGTTTTTCATTTGTCCAAGCCCAAGACAATCAGTTTACTTACTTACAAGATTAGTACTAATGAGAAAAAGATGATTCAACCATTCCAGTACATCCCTCTAGACAAAGCCTAAAGCAGGTCTCTCATCACACCATCCAACTACCTCTTAAATGCTTACAAAGCTTTGTCTCCATAATGAGATTTAAAAGACCATCTCACATGTTGATCACTTTCTAAAAGATCTTTGGTTAATTTTACAAGTGGCTTGAGGTGTCTGTTACAACTCTGGTTACTAAACATGTTTTGGACAAAGGAGACACCTGCAGCTTTAGGCTAGTTCAGATCTGGAACTAAGTTTAGAGCTTAGCTTTGTTTCAATTAATCACAAGAACTCTAACTCAATAACATTTTGGACAGGTATCACACTTCCAACTTTATTCACCTAATTTATTATTTATTTTATTTTCTAGGTGACCATCTGGGAAGCACTGACCAACAGCAAGCCAGGAACACGCCCGATGACGTGTGAGGATAGAAAAGGAGAAAGGTAGTGCAGATTCAGAGAGATTCCTTTACTCTCAGAATCTTAGATACTATTTGGATTAAAGGCATTTCATTGCTTACGAATGTACATGCATTTGTAGTGTAACATATTCGTTAGGCAGAAACAAACTTGTGAGAAAATCACACCATTATTATACATCTCTCAATGTGATTATCACAAAGCATCATTTTGTTGATCAATGGCAGAGAAAAGACTCAGAATAAAAAGTTATAAATAACTTCTAGTAAATCATACTCAGTGAATGGCTACGAAAAGAAACGACTAGCTAAGAAGTGCCTTTTGTTTTTCAAGTTTAAAATGGTCCCACATAGTTGTTTAGTAGCAACTTACCTAGATGGGGCAGAGGGTGGAACATATTCCTAGTAGATTGCTTATCTGATCACCTTATGGTTAGATGACTTTGAACAGTACAGCACTTAAATGAATGCATAATGGTGGTTTTGCTTACCCAGGTTTTCTTGAGCTGGTCAAAGAATAACTTTTGGCTAAAGAATATGAGTAATGATAGTTGACTTAGCTGACATTCCACAAATGACAGTCCACTTATCAGTTGATGCCATGAAGGCCTACATTTTGGACTTGCACAGTAAAATTTATAGTTCAATATTGAAGAAAGTTACATTGTTCCTGTGGACAACACAATACCAAAGTTGGAGGAGACCTCACATTACACTTACTGAGCTCAGCCAGGTGATTAGCTCCCAAACTTTGTGCTACAGTAGTCTCATGTTTATCCCTCAGATGAAAGGCCATGACATCACACCTCTTCTATAATCTTTAGTCTTGCTTTATATGAACTTGTACCAGCTCAGCAGTCCACAGACTTGTTGAATTCTGTGACTTCGTGAAAGGAAGTGACAGGTATAAAATCCACTAGGGGACTCGGAGCATAATAAAATCTCCCTTATCACCTTAAGTTCGCAGAAAAGATGAACATATAATTGTTTGAGGAGAGTCTACATAAATAAAAACACAATTATCCACATGTCACTGACATTAACCTTGCAATGGGCCTTGGCGATTTGAACTGATGTATGGTCAATGTCCAAATTGCCGCTAGCAGATTCTTGGAAAGCTGTCTGCTTTTTAATAAAAGGAGTGGTAATAAACCGGATAACACCGCATTTCCTGCCAGGACCCTAATGACAACAATATGAACAAGGACAGCTGTTCCAGGATCTGTTTGGCAGGTTTACAAATTTGTTTGGTGAAGATTTAAGGATTGCCTACCTCAGAGTGTGATCTTGAGTACCCAGCACCTACTATGAGTTAACTTGAGATGTCAAGAATTAAAAGAATTATGGACACTCTGAAAACATACTCATTCTCTGTGTGAGTGGCACCCAGCAAAGCCTTTAGAGTATGTGAATTGCAGAACCCTACTGTAAGTATAAAGTAAATGTCACTCATAATTAAAGTGTAGGCACACATAATAATACTTCAATAACTTTAATTCCTCTAATATTTACACATCGTGATTGTACAAGCTCAAACCACCAAAGTAGACATTCATCTAAAGCTTCCAATTACAGCAATGACTGTGTATTTTGTTCCACTGTAGCTCATAGGTAATGCATAAGTTGCTTTGATGCTACTGACTGTGAGTTTGGATCATATTGTTTCTACTTTGGCCAAGCTTGGGTGTTTTACATGTGCCACAAATTAATCATAGAATTCATAGAATCCCTACAGTGTGGAAATAGGTCCTTCGGCCCAACAAGTTCACACTGACCCTCAGAGCATCCCACCCAGACTCATCCCCCTATAACCCACCTAATCTACACATCCCTGAACACTATGGGCAATTTAGCATGGCCAATTCACCTAGCCTGCACATCTTTGGACTGTGGGAGGAAACCAGAGCACCCGGAGGAAACCCATGCAGACACAGGGAGAACATGCAAACTCCACACAGACAGTTGCCCAAGGGTGGAATTGAACCCGGGTCCCTGGCGCTGTGAGGCAGCAGTGCTAACCACTGAGCAACCTAGGTTAGAAGGAAATGGTAAGACCCAGGTATCACCCCACCTCCATCAACAATCATTAATTATGGACTTGGCAAAGAGGTCATTTGTATTGTATTGCACCTAACTGCAAAGGTTGTTTGAATTAAATATAACAGTTCACCTGCTGAATTTGACATAAGGTTTTCAATTATCATGCACTGGGTTGGCTTTGTAAATCTGGATTAGTGTTTTATACATAACAATGTCAATCTCTATTTATGTTACCAAGATCCAGTGGATTTCATAAAAGCAGAGAATGTGCAGCCAGGGCTCTCAGTGCTGTATAAACAACTTGAATTTCCAACTGGCCCTCTTATAATTAATCCTTAGAGGGCTGAAGGACATACTTTATTCTCCTTTATGTTCAATGTTTCAGACAAACAGGCGTTCTTTTAGTCACGTGTCTACTCCAAAATGACACTTCTTCAACCTAATGTTAAATGTATTTGCAAGTTGCAGTTCACTCTGAACAGAAACAGAGAATTTTGGGCTATTTTTGGACATAGTGCAGGAAAGTGCCAGCAGTCCACAAAGAGTTAACAGATTTTACTCGCTGAATTTATCCTTTCATATGAATATTTTCACAATGCAGTATGTTGTTATATTATTCATAACTAAATAGGTTTTAATTTAAAACATTCATTACATGACTGGAGGGCTTTTTTTTTTAAAGAAAAAGTCTTTTTCTACCGAGCTCAAATCCAAATTACTTACATTGTACAATCTATTAAAGGTAGTGACAAAATAAATTATTCATCTCACTATCACAAATTCAAATTATTCTTTTGATTACTACATATTGGAGAACTCTCAAAACAACTTCTATAATGTCCAACAAATGAGGCAATAAGCTATAGGAGCCAGCGTAGACCGTTTGACTGTACCCTTTCATTCTTGGTCCTACCACGAGTGGAAATATTTTATCCCTGTTTGCTCTGTCCAGACTTGTCATGATTTTGCATACTTTAATCAGATTTCCTTTCAACCTTCTCCCCTCCAAAGAAAACAGTATCAGCTTCTCCAACCTGTCTTCATAACTGAAATTCTTCATCCCTGAAAACGTTCTCAGGAATCTCTTCTGCACTGTCTTCAATGCCCTCCCATCTTTCCAAAGTGTGGAGTCCAGAACTAGACATAGCATTCCAACCGAGGCCAAATTAATGTCTTATATAAATGCAACATAAACTCCTTGCTCATGTACTCCATTTCTCTTTTAATGAAATTTAAACTGCATTTGTTTACATTGCATCCTTTTTTTAAGCAAGGGTGAAACAGTTACTATTCTGCAGCACCATGGCACCCCCTTGGAGTTGAAAGAAGACTGAAAAATAGTCAAAGCCTCTGCAATTCCCATTCTCCTTCTCATTTCCCTCATTTGCTTGGTTGCATCTCATCTGTTCCAGTGCTTTGTCAACTTTAAGTATGGACCCAATACCTTGTTCTTGTCAATTATAAACCCATCTGTTTCACCAACATGGTCTGGGTAACATCTTTTTCCTCAGTAAAGACGGATGAAAAGCATTCATTCAATATCGCAGCTATGTCCCCTGCATCCAGGACTTCACCTGGCAAAGGAGCAGCACTCTGAAAGCTGGTGATTTCAGATAAATCTGTTGGACTATAACCTGGTGTTGTATGACTTATGATCTTATCCACCCCAGTCCAACACCAGCACCTCCACCTCCACCTCCCTGCATCCATACATAAGTCCAACGTTTGGTACCCAATTGACCCCACAGCTCCCTTTATCACCTCTTCATTATTTATGTGCCTATCAAAGAGTTTGGAAATACCTTTTACATTAGCTGCCAACGTCTTTTCGTACTCGCTTTTTGCTTCGCTTCATCCATTTGCTTTTCCACCACTACTCTGAAAACTTTGATGTTCTGCCTGATTCTGATTTGTAATTTCCACCCAACATCTCTCATAAGTACAGCTTTTCTTTCTTATCATAATTTCTACGTCTTTTCTTATATAGTTAACTCTGGATGTGTTTGCTCTGAGGGAATATACCACAACCATATCCAAACCATCTCTTCTATGAAGATTGCCCATTGTTTAGCTACAGTTCTTCCTACCAACTTTTGACTCCAATTTATTTGATCCTGTTCCATTCTTGCTCCATTGAAGTTGGCTATCTCTCAATTAATGACTCCTTCTGTAAATTGTTCATTATCCTTTTCTGTAGTTGCCCTAAACCTAATGATATAATGGAAAATGTTTATAACACCTTCAAACAATGAGAGAAACTCAAGGCAGAATCTTCCAGGTTTGGCAGGTGGTCTTGCACATTACCAAGAAAACAAGAGGAAGGACTGCTGTATCTTCAGAACATCAGGGACTTAAGGGGCCAGCAAGTGGGTCTTTATCCATATTCGGGTCTCAGGGTGTGAAAGCCCCTCTTCTGTGCTTAGCTAATGCTGGTAACATAACCTTGGAGATTTAAGGCTATGGCCAAAAGTAGGTGATATGTAGGGGCAGAGGAACAGTGTTTGTTTTCACTGGTGAGGCTCACAACTGGAGCAGAGAGTTATTATCTCAGAGATGGTCAGCACAGGGTGCCTTTCACTGAGAGCCCACCCCAAACCAATGGGTAAAAAATGATCACACTCTTTCTTGCCCTGGAGTTGGGGAAGAGGTTGGGGATACATTTGTTGACAGGGTAGCATACACCTGCATTAACCCCAACAGTGACAAGCTGAGGCCCTTAAAGTGGTTTTTAATTATCCAGTTAAGGCCTCAATCTGTGTTGGAAAAAGTGGGAATGGACCTTTCCATCCCAAAATTAATTTGTGTGGAGGTAAGAAACATCAGGAATTGGATGTGCCTCCTCCCCATCTGTTTAAATGTGCTCCATGCCTCCTACCTCATCACCAGGATTCAGCTCTCAGATTTAGAGGAAGAAGAAATATCACTGTATTCACTTTGGAATTATTTTGATGTTCAGACTGTGTTGCATCAATGCTAACAAAACTC